CGGACATGTCCCTGAATGTCCTGTATGTTCTTAGATACACACCACTTAATCAACACTCACACACATTGATTTTCTCCATGTTTTGACTACTGCTACGGTCAGCTGTAAAGCTGGCATATCAGGTGACGCCACGGTTTGACGTCGCTGTGTAGAATGGGGTTAGCCCAAACCAGATATAATGTACAGGCCTGTTGGGTTCGGGGTCTTTCATTCTTCATCTGCCTGCGCGCAGTATTGGAGGTGGAAGATACCTGGACGTGTAATGTTAATTTTACCTGTGATCCTTTGAATAAACGGTTTTTTGTATCCACTTGGACCGCCTCGTCTCTCTGAGTTCCTGGTTAAGAGAACTGGGGAAAATAGCTTACAATACACACCACACAATCAACAGACATTCACACATTGATTTTCTTCATGCTTTGACTACTACTATTGATCATTGAATAAATCAGCACTGTTTGGAAGTTACTTGGACAGCTTCGTCTCTGAGTTAACGGTGTAAAGAATCAGGTCCAACAGTAGTGTAGATAAAAATATTAGTAATATCACATCTCCAAAATTATTATTTGAAATGTTCTAATAATGAGGGGGCTCCACATGTTGGGGCCCTGGGCACCGAGTTCCTCTACTGCCCTCACTACTACGGCCCTGTTTATGTATACAGGAGAAACAAATCAATAGAAATGAGAGAGGGAGGGAGAGAGAGAGAGAGAGAGAATGACAAAAGAAATCGTCCAATGAGAAAGCGCCCTGTTGGCCCTGCAGGCATCCCAGCATGCTTGTCGACTCAGCGCTACGTCAGCAGTGATATCGAAACATGGCGGTGTCCACAGCACGGCGCCCGGTGGCTAATACTCCTGTGTTGATGTTAACTTTTCTCACAACGTTAATATTTCACCGCTGTGTCGCCGAAACAGCCACAGGTGCCTCGACGTCAGAAGAGCCTCCACACCGCCGGTTCGAATACAAATACAGCTTCAAAGGACCGCACCTGGCTCAGAGCGACGGAAGTATCCCCTTTTGGATCCACACTGGAAGTAAGTTGGTATCCAGCTGTCAACATCACTGAGCTGCTGTTCATCAAATGTCTGTAGATGGCACGATGAGGACAGCTGAGGTCGTTCGTGGCAGAGGTGCGTAACGGGCATTTCTCTGCTCGCTGCCTATGTGCAGCGCTGGCAGCACTTAGTTCATTCAAAACTGCACCTGGAGATGCATCGGTTTTAGCACACTAGCCTTATCTCCGAGTCCCGGTGACATATTAGGTGCCGGTTTAAAAGACTGTTGCATGAATGCAGACACATGCATCTTAAGTATTGAAGTTTTCTTCCTGCAGAAACGGGCCTTTGGATTATTGCATCATACAGTCAGTTGTCCTGTTGCTGACAACTTGCTTGAGTTCAACGTGTTGCATGAGATTACACTGCATTCCCTCCAAATGAGTCACTGATTAACTCATCTGTAGAGCCTTAATCTGCAGCAGTTCTACTAATCTAATAATGATTTAGTCAAAAATGCCAAACATCTGCAGGTTCCAGCTGAACAGATATGATGTTCTGATGCTTTTCTTTGTCATACATGACAGTGAACTGATATATTTGCACAAAACAAGAGATTTAATAATCTGTAGATAAAACAAAAAATCTAGAAATTATCAGCAGAGTAATTACAGCCCTAGATTTTTTTTAGCCAGATAGATATTGGATAGATACTTTATGTATTAGAAATGTTTAGTGGAGATAGGATGTCTAGTTAGACTGTTAAATGCTTAGGCCTGCTTATGAGTTTCTACAGGGTACATCTGGTCAAGGATAACTAGAGAGAAGAGTTGATGACTGTCAGCAGACAGGGTGTTTAATATTATTATTATGACGTGTAGAACTGTAGCCTTAGCCATAATATGTTCTTATGTTTAATATCACGACATGTCACTAGAGGTCGTGAGAATGTTTTTAGCTACACACCACTTAATCAACAGACACACACACATTCACACGTTGATTTACTTCATGTTTTGACTACTGCTATGACCAGCTGCAAGGCTGGTAACAGAGACGTCTCGGTTGACGTTTCTGTGTAGTATGGGGCTAGCCCAACCGAGGGGATATAATGTATAGGCCTGGTGGGTTCAGGGTCTTTCATCTTACAGCTGCCTGCGAGCAGTTTGGAGGTGCAAGATACCTGAGCGTGTAATGTTAATTTTACCTGTGATCCTTTGAATAAATCAGCGCTGTTTTGAAGTTACTTGGACTGGCTCGTCTCTCAGAGTTAGCAATGGTAAGACGAACCATATCCTACAGTATCTTATTCTTGTATCGGTGTCGTCTTATAAAACACACTGTTGAAACTTGTAATGAATTAATTATTGCCCTTAATGGATATTATTTTCATAGAGAACAGCAAACTTAACCAGTTATTGATTCTTGCTTACTCTCTTTCCATCCAGATGCTATTCCCAGTACAGACCAGGTGCGAATCACGCCATCTCTCAGGAGTCAGAGGGGTTCTGTGTGGACAAAAAACCGGGTCAGCATTGAACACTGGGAGGTCGAGGTGACCTTCAGAGTCTCTGGAAGAGGCAGGATGGGAGCTGACGGTTTGGTAAGGAGGGGTGAAGCTTCAGTCTGGGTTGATAGGGCAGTCAGTTTACTTTTAGGGAGTGACGTACAGTATGTATTTACTGACACACAAGCTCCTATCCAAGCCTGATCACAGTTTAGGGTGCGTCCTAGCATCCCGGCCATCTATCCCTAACAGTTTTTATAGAGGATGCTAAACAAATATAAAATGTTTGTTCCACTTTTCCCTTGTCCAACAGGCTGTGTGGTTCACAACTTCACAAGGTCTTGATGGTCCAGTTTACGGAGCTGCAGACCAGTGGAATGGAGTTGGAATTTTCTTCGACTCTTTTGACAATGATGGAAAGGTTGGTGTCAAGTACACGTTTCCAAGAATCATGTACTCTCATATATTTTCAAGAGTGTTCCTGAGCATTTCGTAGTGAAGTTGATTAACTGCATGTATTGATAGAGGGCAGGTCATGAAGTCATGTTCAGCCTTTTTGTTTCTGTTGTTTGGTGGAGACAGTGCTGCTGCAGAGATCACCCACATCAGCACAAAGACAACTTCTATTAAGACAATAAAAATATTGTAATTGTGAGATGATGGGATCTACTTTACGATGCATTCTAAACATCTTAAATGTTTGTTTTGGTCTTGAAGATGTGTTTGTAGACAAAAAACTAAAATGTGGATTTTTTTTTTCTTTACTTTTACAGAAATGTATAAAGTATTAATTGTTTTAACATATATCAACTTTAAGTACATGGATTTTTTAATTTATGGTTTTAACTAGTAGATGAGTAGAGTCATCCTGTGTCTGTTGGTGTCAGGGAAAACAAGTCTCTCATAGGTCTGTTTGAATGTTATTTATTTGTGCCCAGGTATGGGATAGATATTTTGGCACAAGATTACCAAATCTACTGCTGCTCTTCAGATTTAAAAAAAGGATTAATGCATTTCTTTGTTCTCTTGTCTTAATTTCAGAAAAACAACCCAGCTATTATTGTTGTGGGAAACAATGGCAAACTTGTTTATGACCACCAAAAGTAAGTAAACATTTCCTGTGCTTTGCTCTGATGTCATCACCAACCAAATTTTTACCAATTTAAAGAAGATTAGGAAATATGATTATATTTGCTTGGAAAGTAAATAATCCTCTGTCTTTCCTAATCTTCCCCCAGGCCAGTGAAAGCTTGAAATCACTTTTTCATTGCCATTCCAGTCTTGTCTTAGAGTTCATAGTATTACTCCATATTGCTAAATAAGTGTTTATAAAAACATACATGAGCATTAATCTGATTCACTTAACAACTGAAGCTTGAACATATATTTCCCCATTCTGGTACAGTGTCTGTGTGGAGCACTGTGCTGCATATAGATGGAAGTTGTAGTTAATTATTTTTTTTGTCTGAAAATGTTGTTTTCATCCAGTGACGGCACCACACAAGCCCTCGGCACATGTTTACGAGACTTCCGCAACAAACCCTATCCTGTCAGAGCCAAAATAACGTACTACAAGAAGACGCTGACGGTAGGAGACAAATGTGAACACACAGATACAAACACACACTCGCATGGTGAGCAGAAATTAAAGTTGTCACCATTAATGAGACTGTTTTCTCTCCTTAATTGTCTGTGTATTTATATGAACAGAGAATAAGGTAATTCTGCCAAATTGGTAATTGGCTCTTTGCGTAGCTGTAGTACATTTGTTTCTTCTTCTCCAGGTCATGATCAACAGTGGGTTCACTCCAGACAAGGAGGACTATGAGCTCTGTACAAAGGTTGACAACATGATCATTCCCAGGGAAGGCTTCTTTGGTATATCGGCCGCCACTGGGGGTTTAGCAGGTATTACTTTAGTCTGTGTTATAAACCTTTAAAATCTGTATTTATTTGCAGTCCGTTTCTCTCTAACCCTCATACTTTAAATCTACAGTCAAGTCTTCGAGTCATTGAAAAATCAAACCAGTTACGTAGTCTTAGCTGACAGACAAAGTTTTCCAGCTGTAATTGTCAGATGTGAAGGCGTTATTATAAACAGAGTTTTAGTTACTGATCAGAAACTACTGACACTCCTGATATGAGCTTATTATTTTATCATTAGTTGTTTTTTCAAAGGGGTCAAAGTGTTTATTTGTCATATGCACAGTTAGGAAACGTGTTTCCCTGTACAATGAAATTCATACTTTGCCGTCCACATGAATGCCACAAAATACAAGTGAAATGTAAAGTAGATGAGCAGTAACACAAATCTAAACAGGCAGTAACACAAATCTAAGGCAAGCAGCAAGTGAAAGAAGCACAATAAAAATACAACAAGAACACAATATAATGTAGAGAGAATATATGCTACGTGGGAGCCATGAAGTGCAAATACTCAGCGGTGAGTGTGCAATTATTCATGTGCAAACAGAGTATGTAAACAGTACAGGTGGAATTACATCAGGATATTTCTCATCTTAACATTAACCTTCAATGTTACGTTTAGATTTTAAAGCCATAAACAAGTGATATTTCCTGTTATTATTATTACTGAGATGTTCTTCATAGTATTATTCGTGTTTTTGACCTGTTACAGAAAATAAACCCTATTACCAAAATATTCTCATTACAGAGATATGACCAGGTTATTACGCTGTACACATGGTGGTATTACCCCTGTATTACACCCTTATTACTGTGCTATAACGCGAAGTACTACTGTCATTTTCTAATCCAGATTTTCTCTCCTCCATCAGATGACCATGATGTTTTGTCCTTCTTATTATTCAGACTCACGGAGCCAGGCCAGCACCCGGTAACTACATTTTCCTAGAGCTCCTAAAACTCTCCCAGTTTTGTGTGTGCCTCTGTGCCTTTGTGTGCGCATGCATGCATGTGCACAATATAGCCTAAGCATGGCCTCTATTGAGTTCGGCAAGTTTTTTTTGTCTTTCCCATTGAAGCCCCCACCTGAATTTGAGATTCCTAAAGAAGAGAAGGACAAGTACCAGGAGGAATTTCAGAACTTCCAGCAAGAGCTCGACAAAAAGAAAGAGGAGTTTCAGAAAGAGCACCCGGACGTCCAAGGAGAGCCAGGTTAGTTTTCTGAAACCAAATGGCCCAATTGATTATGGGAAATACATTGGAAAAATTAATCATAAAGAGTAAAGTTTTTTTTTTTAAATCTCTTTCATTTCATTTTAATAAAACAAATAACATTTTTGGAAAATATAAACTATAATACACTTAAAGGGACATAAGTATGCTCAAATATTACATCTGCAATACCTCGTGTAATGTTTATACAGTACATTTTGGATTTTTATTTTCCTCTTCAGTTGAGGATGTATATGAGAGCGTAAATGACCGGGAGATCCGTCAGGTGTTTGAAGGCCAGAACCGGATCCATCTGGAGATAAAACAGCTCCACCGGCAGCTCGCCATGATCCTGGACGAGCAGCGCCGATATGTGTCCGTTATCACTGATGAGATCGCCAAGACGGGGACGAATGCCCAGTTAGGACAGGTATGCCTGCCATGTTTCCTATCATTTAGAAATTTTGCTTCCATGAAACTTAGAATAATATCCAGTCATCACAGTTCAAGATGCACTAGGTCATGTTTTGAAGGTAGGTGCACACTTAACATTGACTCACAATTCACACAGAATGTG